ATGGCGAGTTGTATTTTTTCGGGTTTATGTAAGCAAATAATCAAAAGAAAAATAGGAAAAAAAAGAAAGAAAGTAGGCAATAGAGTAATACAGGAAAGTAAGAGGGAAGGAGCAGGGGGAGGAGATGAGAGGGAATTAGAGTCCATATAGGTCTAAGGCGTCTAAGGGTCGGACCCTTCATATAAAAGTCAGTGAGTGTAAAGATCCGATAAGTGTAAGAGTTAGTTGAGTCTGAAGGATCACGCGAATCTAAGGGTCAGTAGAGCCTACGGGTCAAAAGAGTACGCAGGGTCAGGCGAATGTAAGGGTCCGTTCAGTAAGGGTCAGATAAGTAAAAGACTCAGTTGAAGGATCAGTTGTGTTCAAGTGTCAGTTGAGTTTAAGGGTCAATTGAGTTTAAGGGTCAAATGAATCTAACGGTTCGATAAGTATAAGGATCAGATGAGTATGAGGGCTAGATGGTTTTTTTTTATCAATAAGCGTAAAACCTACAGCATAGGGCCAGATGGATACAAGAGTCAGCCGAGTCCGAAGAATCACAGGAATGTGAGGGTCAGAATGGTACGAAGGGTCAGGCGAATATAAGGGTTAGTTGAGTAGAAGTATGAGTAGAAGTCTCAGTTGAGTTTAAAGGTTAGAGGCGTCTCAGTGATAGTTGTGTTGAAGGGTCAGATGGGTCTAAGGATTAGTTGAATCCGAACGATCATGCGAATTTGAGGGTCTGTTGAATAAGGGTCAGATACGCAAAAGCTTCAGTTCAGTTTAAAGGTCAATGGTGTCCAAATGTCAGTTGAGTTTAAGGGTCAGATGGGTCCAAGGTTTATTTGAGTCCGAAGGATTAGGCGAATCTAAGAGTCAGTTGAGTCCAAGAGTCAAACAACTACAAAGGGTCAGGCGGATTTAAGGGTCAGTTGCGTGCTAAGGATTACGCGAATCTACGAGTCACTTGAGCCTAAGGGTCAAAAGAGTACGAAGAGCCAGGCGAATCTAAAGGTCAGATGAGTAAAAGGCTGAGTTGAGTTTAAGGGTCAGTTCAATTTTAAAGTCAGATGACCTTTGGCTCACCTAGGCATTACCTTGTTGGACAAAATGCTGTTAAATTGAGATTATCAGGAGACTGCAATTTCTTGAATGCCGCCAACCTTTTAGGTGAATCTCGAAGAAAGGTGATGAGCATTTTGATGCTCCCAAGGCAGTTCCTTATGTCTGGTACTTGTTCCATTCCATCCTGAACGACTAAACTGACCGTATGGGGTATGCAATGCACGTGGAGAGCACGCGATTCAACTTCTTGAATACGTGTCTGAAGACCTGTCAATCTCCCGCTCACATTGGTAGCCCCATCACTGCCCACGCATGTCCGAAAACTTCAAATTATATCGAATTAATACATCCTTTACAAGATTGAACAACGTTTCAGATTTTGCATCCTCCGTTAAATAGAATCCTGTGGAAATCTCTTCGATAGACAAGTCTGAATGTACCACTCTCAAGCAAACTGAAATTTGCTCCAATCTAGAGATGTCAGAAGTTTCGTCTATCATCAGAGCATAGTACTTTGCATTCCTAATTATTTGCAAGTTTTTCCTCAAAACGTTATGAGCCATTATCGATAGAATCTCATCGACAATATCATGGCTGAGCCATTTACCCTCTTATCGGTTTAACCAACGGTTCAACTCAGGTACATGCTCAGCTAGCAATTGTAAAATTTGTAAGAGGTTTGACTGTTCATCGTTGTTTTGACCACGAAGAGGTAGACCTCATCTGGCTAATAGAAGAGTAGTCCTGAAAATCTTAGACAATGCAGTACGAGCGTCAATCATTTCCTTTTCCTTGACCGTGGAAATTTGTTTAACAATATTCTGATTCCTAATATTGGTTATAGCATTCACTGCTTCGATGTGCAAAGAACTGGATTCATGATTACGAAAACGACCTACTGCATTGCTCCAGCAACTACAGCAGATGTTTTTGGCGGGACAAACGTAATCAGGTAGACATCTATATACGCACAGTAGTTGTTCGGAATCGCTCGGAAACTCAGGTGAGACGGTGAAACTATACCGACGTGCACAAGCGCTGATTGAGTGAGGCAGAGACAGCAGAGACAGAGACACACACGCGTGCACACACTCGATTCAGAAGACTCAATCGGTAAGAGCGATTGATCTTTCTTACCATGAAAAATTCAATTTTGTTCATTATACCCAATTTTTTCGTTTCTCGGCTCATCAATTAATATAAGTGAAATCAAATTTATTTCTTCTATTTTTTCTGAGGTGTGGAATTCCACACCTGGAAAAAATTGAGGTGTGCAGTGCTCAACACGTTCCACTATGGCGCCGCCGCCCCTGGAATTAACAACCAGTTATTCAATTTGAACAACTACTTGTTGAAATTCGACAATTGATGGTTGAAATCTGATAACATAGTCAAAATTTTGGTGAAAATTGAATGACGATTAAGGTCAACGGGAGAGATGAAAAAAACTATCCTAAAGTTCAAAGAGTTGTAAGAGCCGAACGAGCGGTGTCAGCAGAAGAGTTGAAAGTACTTCTGCTTCTTCTTCTTTTTCATCTTCTTCTTCTTATTCTTTCGCTTCTTCTTCTTCTTCTTCTTCTTCTTCTTCTGCTTCTAATCCCGGTGGCTTTCCCCCTTAACTTTGGTAGGGGCACCCAGGTATAAAAATCTCTTGGATGTGCAACTATGAACCCAACAGCTAGGCTGCTTTGCAATGTTAGTCATTTTTGTCATTTTGCTGGAGTGCAGTTGTTGTGTCTCAGTCCTGCATACCAAATCTATTCATCTAACTATACATGTCAGCGTGTTGCGGCAGTACAGTGAAGGATCTACGTCAGATTCGTTTGTAGATGTAGCCTTCAGGCTATAGTATTCCTAGACACTGATATTTACATAAGCATTGCTATCCACATAAACGTCGATGAACGAGGTTGTAGCAAGATAACATTAGATGCTCATTGTGAGTAACGTAACTTGGGAAGATTTTTCAGTAAAAATCTTTTTTTTCCAGTATAAATTTTCGGTACTAATACCCTAAAAGCTTCAAAATTATCGGCTATTTCCCAATAACTTCGTTGCGAACAAATGAGGGTGTCAAGTTTTGCAAATTAAAAATGCTTTTTCTGCAAAACTCTGCACGATGGTTTGTATGCAGGGGAGCTTGACGGAAATACCCGATTAATTTTGAATCTCGAGGGGTATTTGTCGGATTATTTTTCCCAATCGGATTTTGGCAAGCAGAGTGGGGAAGATTGGAACAAATTATGTTAATAGAATAACCCGATTTGCATAGACTATAAAATATAAGATTCTATCTGAAATGAGCCGAAAAAATGAGGAGCTACTGCGAAATATTCAGGTAAAAAAAATGAAGAACTACTCCGAAATATTATATTCTAAAGCTAGGAGAAAATATCAGAAATAAAACTGTCAGGTAGCCTCAAATACTGCGCTCTGATTAGTCGAAATCCGATTGGGAAGTATAGTCAATATAAAATATGTTATCGAGAGAAATCAATAGAATTGGATTTTTCAATTCTACTTATTGCATTCACATATTTTACACAGAAATTCCTTGCTTCAAATTTCTGAAATTTTCTTTGATTTTTTCAATGGAAGGAACAAAATGAAGTGAAAAAAAATTGAAAATTGAAAACAGAAAAACAATGATCAGAATTTTTAATAATTCAATAGAATTTCAATAATTTCTGGTTAATAAAGAAACTGTGATAATTTGTTTGAATACTATTAGATATTTCGATTAGTGTTTCAAATAAAATTTTTGTTCAATCTGGAATTATGGCAAAGGAGTCTTTGCAGAAATTTAGTTATATGCAAAACTGTTGATTGTTGTCATAGAATTATATCCAGTTTAAAGCACAAGATGAAACTTATTAACTAAATGAATACAAAATTCCGATTGTTACCGGTACACTTTATTTTATCATGAATCACATCAGTAATAGGTGATTTTTGACGAAGATGTTGAGAGGCCTTTTTTAACATAAATTTAATACTTGGAAATAACAATAAATGAGAGGGTGTGTTTTTATCATTTGAAAAATAATGGATGCTAATGATAGTTTACGACAAGTTGCAGGAATGTAGATACGTGTGACTCATGCGACTGTTTGTGGCTATAAAAATTACTTCGATAGCTCGGGTATGTATGACTGTTGAATGTTCAAACTTATTGGCTTGAACAACATTTTTCAATGTTTTTTTTTGTATTTTTCAAATAAATCCATCAACCATTCGAAGTGTGTCCTTCGGCGAAGATCGTATCATGTCGGGGAGCCGAGTGGTTCCAACCAGCGTTAGGGTTGACAGTAAACTGAGAAAAAAAATTATTTTTGCTAAATATCCATTTACTTGAGAGAAGAATTTAATTTTTCACAGTCGTATTTTTACAATCGAGTCATACCCAGGCGAGCCTGATTAGGTTTCAATTATAATAATCATATTGCTCTAGAGGAAGACTATGCTGCACATGACCTTGGATAAACTCCAATAATTATTCATTGTTTCCAAATCTCTAATTTTCTAGAGGGAAGAATATCGACTAATTTTTCAATGTCGATAAGTATTGAAGGAGTTCACTTAAGGTCATAACTAACATGATCATCTTCTAGAGCAATATAATCGACATAATCGAAACCTAATGAGGATTGCCTGGAAATAACTTAACTGGAGAAATACGGTATTGAAACAATAAATACTTCTCTCAAGTAAATGGCTATTTGGCAAAAATAATTTTTTTTCGCAGTATATATTTCCTCCTTCGATCAGGCTGGAGAATAATGCTTAAGACCTCCTTCCTTACCTTAGCGTCATTGACGAGATTTGAAAGGAAATTTTAATATTTATTTATGATTGACAAGTACACGAGAAATTGTATTGTTTGTTGTTAACAATCATGTATTGTTAACTACATCCACACACAAAAGTGAATAAATATAGCAGATATAACCATATTTTTAATGAATTATTTTTGACTCGACTTGGAAACAAGTGATTGGTGTGCCGTTTTCGACCAGCGCCCATTCAGCAGTACCCGACACCTGTAATTAAAATTAGCGTAATTAATAAGTATATCTGTGGCAGATTGATACCATGTCCCGTGCTATGTAGAGAGAGATTGAATTGACCATGGATCCCCTATTTGGCAAAATCGGGCTAGGGCAAAACGAACCACTGACAGAAAATTGATAATTTTTTTATTTTTTTGATAGCTTTTGCTTCCAGATGGAAGCAGAAACAAAAATTCAAACCCATTTGTGGTTTGAGGTGATTAGCAAATCTTATCAAATTGTGGTTCAACGACACTTCTTGTCTATAAAACCGCTGTGATGATTATGATTCTGGAACTCACTTTTAATTCAACACATTCAGTGTTCCTGATTTAAAGGAAAGAAAAAAAATAAAGCCCAAAGCAAGGCGGAGTCCGCATGCCTCCGAATTTTTTAATTTGTACATTGTTGATTATTTAATTGTTTCCCTCGTATAGAGGGTCGGAAAGTCGAAAGATAGCATATAGCATCCTGCTTTCCATATAATTTGTACCTTAAAATCATCTAAGGTTTGACCGAAAATAGCCCGGGGATAATACAGAATATGAATATACCGGTCGGCATAACATCTCTCATTGTGGAAAAAAAAAAATAACCAATTTTCTGTCGGTGGTCAGTTTCGCCCTAGGGATCGGCTTTGCCCTGTGGTCCATTTTGCCCTACCCTCCCCTAACATCATTAAACTCTAAAAGCAGGGAGTGATTGAAAATCATTTGACGGTCAATGGTAGCCCAACCCCAAAGGCCCATCGATTAAATTCGAATATACATAATCAATCGATTTTTTATATTTTCTTTTTGAGACTGTTCGCACCAAGCACGTCCTCGTCGTGAGTTCGGAGTCACGCCAAGAGTTGGTGAGGATTGAATTCTTCTCCAACCCCTGTTGGTCCCTTTATGAACTTAGTCACCTCACTGAGAGGAGCCTTGATATCTTCATCATGAGGGTGCACTTGCATAATTTTATTTTCAACTTTATTGTCGTAAAAAGGTACAAAGGAGTTGAGGAAGAAACACCTTATATCAATTAGAAATTATAAAAAACTGATAGATATAATAACAAAGGACCACAAGAATAGTGGACGCAAGACCCCATGACTTATACGTTTTGCATCAAAATAGTACCTTTGAAGATATTGGAATTCTAAGGTTATACCAATCATCACCAAACCATTTTGCAAATGGCGTTGAATACTAAATGTGAAATAACTGAATTTCTCCCGCTAACTATATCCACCTCCCCACTTTCCTCACACTCATACTTCTCGTGAACTCCGTGCCGCAGTGGTTTAAGGAAAGGAATTATTAACCATCTTCCGTGAAAGTCGGAATGAATCACTCTCAGAGGAATGAAGTGAGGACTGTTAATCCTTACAAAAAGCGCCCACACTGATTGGAAGGATGAGTTATTGTTAACGAATGGATTTGGTTGAAGACGAGGGTTTATTTTCTCACCAAATGTTCATTCGTTAATAGTTAATAAATGCACATTTGAGTAGCCTTGTTTGACTCTTTGTAAGTTCACTTGAAAAGTGAACAAAGCAAGGTCTTATTCGTTAACTACTAACGAATATTCATTTGGTCCTATTCAACTCTACCATTCGTTAATAGTTAACGAATCTCGTTTGGAATGAATGAATCAGTCTATCAGTGCAAAGAGGTGGAAATGTCTTGCATGAAGGAATGTTAATAAAAATTAGGTTAAAATTATTCTGAAGGGCTCAATCGTACAGATTTAATATTCCGTTCGTTATATTGTGACCAAATTCTTCCTCTTCCTTAAGGACAAATTTCAGTAGAACCTTTTTGCAACTTGGAAAATTAAAAAAAAATCTTCCTCAATCCTCTAAGGTGAGAGACATAGTAGGCTCCCCGAGTGGGAACGCCGGCATTCTGCTTTGCCTGTCGTAGACTGGGAATACTGAAATTCACCTTAGAGAGTTGATATCATTCTCTAAAAGCCTTCTTCACCGGAACAATCTCAAATTAAATAACACGATAAAAATAGGTGTTGAGATAACGATTATTTTTACCTCAGGATAACGTTTCAGAACACGAAATTCTCTTTTATAATAGTACTCGGTTCCTGCTTTCAGTGGACATCCAGTAACATTTCCTTCAGCATCGTAAATATACTCGCATGCGTCACGACCGTTAACTTTGGAGAATGGAATACGCAAAAAAAATGATATTGCATAGGCAGAAGTGCTGAGTGATTCAATATCTTTGTCTGGTACAAACTTCTCCTCAATGGTTACCACAGTATTACGTTTCAGTTCGCATGGTGGCTCGTCACAGTTAGTTATATTGATAGACTTTATAGGGTCAAGACTCCCACCTGCAAAGTAGAAAAGAAATGAACAACAATTATATTTTTCAATTAATCCTGAATGTCGTTGAAGTTAGTCAGAAGTAGTAATGGCAGATTATTAATCACGCATCGTACTAATCACGTCGTTAATTTTCTCTTCTAAGAATCAGCAATCTTGCTACTCATAATTCCAGTTTACGATACACTCTACTCTATTATTGATGTTGGGGTATGATTTCTGCATGTATTACGTTCCTTTACGAAGATTTGTGAAAGATAATTCTGAGAAAGAGGTTCAGCAGGAGTAACGTCATGCGTTGTCAGCTGAAAGCGGGCTATACTGGTATTGATGAACGGCTTTGAAAATACGTGTGACCAGAGTCGCGGGTCGTACTTTCGCCTCCTGCTAGGTGAATTGAGGATCGCTGGTATAAGTTCTATGGTTGCTATGGGAAGCTGGTGGAGGCATTCTTTCCCACAATAAGTCCAGGAAGGGGCCAAAATAATAAGAAAATTAGGAAATCGTAAATCATTCCGCAGGAGAGGAAACTGATAAGGAAGACGGAATCCGCATGAGATAGATTACAAATTTCGTCTCACATGGGGTAGGAAAAAAGAAAGAGAACGCATGCGGAGTGAGAGGATGTTTCTGAGGATCAACAGGCCTGGGGGAGAGTGTAGGGTAAATTATCGAAGTGACAAATGCAGGAGACGCCCCTGTACCTGTACGAGAGATAGGTGGAGGTATTGAAAAATCCAACTTCATCTGGATACGCTGATCTCGGATTATTTGAAGTAGACTGCTCATAGCAACGGAGCAGTCGGGAAAGAAAACTATCTCCGGTATTTTTCGACTCAGTATCTTCCAAACTGCTGAAATCGATATACACCTTGATATTGAACTACGGTTGAATATGGCTCAAGGATGGTTACCTTTCCTAGTAGATGATATCACGCTTCTGGAAGATGTACAGAAAAAATCGACAAAGATTCTCGAAAGAATTAAGAGGTTGAGTTACCAAGAGCGGAGGCAGCAGCTTCAACTTCCATCTCTGTAGGAGGAGAGGAGGAAATTCGATCTGGTGGAAACATACAACGCCTTGAACTCCTTGTATTGTAGGGAGAAGATTGAGGGGCTTCTTCTATGAAACGAGTACTCCAAATACTGCGGGAATTTGTGGATCCGTAGACTAATTTTTGTGTAGTGGATCCATGGAACGACTTTTGCATAGGGACCAGGGGCGTCACTTCGTACCTCTTGGAGTTATCAGTAATTGGAATGCGTTTCCGACAGAGCTCTCGAGTGAGTGGTCGCTGGAGGTTCCCAATAGAGCCCCCGAGGAAATATAGCATGGCTGACAGGAAGATTTCCGCACTGTCTCCCTACTGTTCATCATTTATTTCCCTCTTTGCTTTGTTTTTGATTCCGAATGGAAGTTTTGTAATTGTTCAAATTTAAGTTTCCAATTTTTTGTGTTAGGATAAGTATTTACTTACATAATTGATAACGATTATCAAAACAAGAAAAATTGAATCATCTAAACAATGATTCTATTTCTCACTAATGAAGTTTTTACTTTTACGAAGAAAGCATTTGTTCATATTTATAGAACTGTTCATTTGATATGAATAAAAATGCAACTGGAACTTGAATTTAGGCGTTACTGGACGCTTTATTGGGAGCTCTCTGAATAAATCGATTATTTCATTCAAGAATGTAATTTCTCTTTTCGTTGGTACCTACAAAGAGAAAGTCCTCGTTTTTCAACTGATGATATTTCTGTGTCTAACATTGATCTACTGTTATTCCATTCCTTGATTGCGTTTAATTGTTTAGAATAATTTTATTATGTGTTATAGGACATGTTGCGTAGCATAAGGAGCTCTACTATTTACCATAGTGATTATTGCTGTGTCCATAGTACCTATTACCATTGAGTAGCTTACTATGCCCCAGAGTAATCATTACGATGTTCCATGGTAGCCATTACTATGCCCATAGTAATACTCACAAAATTTGGGTAACGTTTACTATGTGCAGATTTCGATATAGTAATCTTTACTATTTTATTTTCTCCGTGTGGATTTTTGTTTAATTTATAGTAAATAGTCTACAGGACTATTAGACAGTCGGCCGATTTTTCCAATGAAATTGAAGGCATAAAGTCACATTTTAGTCGCAAGAGTCGACGGTTCTGTCATATTCTTCGATGGACCTTCTAGTGTCACTATTCTATTAATCATGGCATTAAAAGTGTGATGCACATTCTCTATTACCTTTTTATCTTTTCCAATGCTTATCGCCTATAAATTCCATTCTGTGTTCAGTTTATTATCAAGAGATTCTTACAAATGTATTTCTGCACGCTTATATGATTATAATCGTGATAATAATAATGATCAGAACAGTGATAATAATTCGGCAATTATATCTAAATAGTTGATTGGCGAATGAAAATTTAAAAAATTTTCATTCGCCACACAACGCTTTAACAAAAAGTTCAAAAATGTCAATCTCTGAACATCTACCAGTAAACATCAGGATTGTAATCCCGAGAACGAGACTGACATATAATTGTAAATCAAACGAACTTACCTGTAAATGAAGTTCGATTGTAATTATATGAAGTCTCGTTCGAAGGGATTACAACCCACCCTAAGATGAATATCTTCTCTACCCACCCGAGGCGATATTTTTTCCCTTTTTTTCTTATTTTCTTTGGCTCTAAAAATTATGAAAACGACAGATCTGTGGGGGCGCCACCAGACCCTCATGGCGCATTTTTTCAAATTGCTCTCTAAACTTGTGACTCAACCTGCATAAACAGCGGTACTACCAGTAAATATCAGGATTGTAATCCCTTCGAATGAGACTTCATATAATTACAATCGAACTTCACTTACAGGTAAATTCGTTTGATTTACAATAATGTAAGTTAAACTCACCCTTTGTGCATGGACTAACAGTCGTACAGTTCCCCAACATCGCAAAACACAAGACAATTATCGATACAAGCGTTGTTTTTCCAAACATCCTAGTATAAGCTGACTCAGCTTCTGAAGACTAAGACCGTAGGTTGATTATCTTCAAAATTTATGAACAGACTTGTACTTTTCCAATCACTTAGAACTTCGTCGGGCGAAGAATGAAAAATAGAACACAGCTTTTATAGGGAGTCTTAACCCATTACGGTATCTCACGGTACCCCACCTTTCATCATTTTGTAGGAGTATGCATGCACCGCCGTGCTTCTATAAAAATGCACTAATACTACGAACCCCCACTCCCTCACAATGATACTTCTTGTGATCTCAAGGGTCAAACGGAGCAGAAGAAAGACGGTGGGAAGGATCAAATAATCGAGAGGGTTACAAAGAAGAGAAACGAATTTTCCGTTTAAGGAACTTCCGCAGTGTATCACATATTTCACGGACTGTCAGAAAATTTTGTTAAATTGAAGGTGAGAAATAAAATCCGTTTGCTAAAAAAGCTTTGAATTTTATCCGTATTCCTGTTCTTAATTTCATATGCACTTGTATTCTTTTTTTTGCATCAGAGTGGAAGCATTGAAATCGTTCAAATTTACGTTTCCAATTTTTGTTTTCGCGTAACTCAATTTCTTTTTTTGACAGTTTTCTCTGAGGAATCTGTTGCATTTCATAATTTTTTTCTGAATATACACTGCAATGAGTGCTATCTATTGGTGCGAATTAGGATTCAATATCTCGAAGAGTATCAAAGATAATGCAATTTTTCCAAAAAATGATTTTTCAATGATCAAACAGTCCTACAACAGATTGGTGAACGATGGTTAATCATTAGAAAATCAAAGTCAATGACCTGTAAATTTAACCGAACTACGATGGTACAATTTGTTGTTGAGTTACAGCAAAATCTTGGTGAGATTTTTCTACAAAATCGCTTCGTTAATGACTACTGAAAGAATAATCAACAAAATCAAATGAATTGCGACTCAAAGAATTAGTTTCAAAACATTGTTAGTAAAGTTACACATTAGCGTAATGAGCTTCTTTATATCAGGCCTCCATTAAATCCCTATGGGATCAATAAACTCATTATTAAAGAAACCATTATTTACATCCTAAAAAACTGATGCAAATGCTTTTTTAATTGGGTGGAAATATAGTGTTAATCGCATTATTCGTTGGTGCGTCACACCATATTAATAATTAATTAGATTTTTTTCCGACGATAGGTTTGTGAATGATGTGAATGATTAGTGAAGAAATGAACATCGAAATCAATTCAATTATTGCTTAAAACTTCGTTGGATTGCGTTCTTAATATAGCTGGAAGACGGTGAGAGTATAGTATAGGATCGTGGGTTATGGAGTTTTGTTCTCTGATGGAAGCATTATTTCCGTCAAAATTTGAACGTGGTGGTACTTGTTGTCAACTTTTTTGGAAAATTTTTTGAAGACTCTGTTATATCGAGAAAGATAATCTAATAGAATCTGATTTTAAACTGTTCGGAAGGATATTCGTAATTAGCCACAATAGTTATGTTGGTAATCAGAGAATACGAATCATCCACTTATGAGAAGTATCTAAATTTGTATGTGGAATATAATGAATGATATCCCACAACTAATTGTCATCCGTTAAATAATTACGATATTATCTCTTAGAGTGGGTTTGAATGGAATTTTTGTTTCAAATTTCCTTGCCCACAAGAGGTTTTTTTACATTTTATTTGAATCCTAAATAACAATTATTTCACTCTCAATCACTCGCGCTCGGCCGCCAGCCTTCATGCATCGTACGGTTAAAATGGCGCGCTGTTGCTACGTTGACGCATACTGCTATGCGGGCTTTTCAAATGTGGCAGTGAATTTAGCAACACTGTCGCTTGTGCGGTCGACAGGGACTCACTCACACCGGGCGGCACGCCGCCACTTTTCTGTCTGTTCGACGTCAATGCTTAATATAATTTATATAATTTCCCGAGAAAAACAGACGACGTCAATGCTTAATAAAAGGATTGAACTAGGAACTCTATTTTTTCAGAATTCTTAAGCGTCGCGAAAACACGCTAAAATATTTGTAAAAAACCAAAACGGGCGGGGCCGCGCTCATTGAGCAAGTAGTCGAGGGTTCACTCTGTCGTTATCGAGAAGTTTTAGTTTTAATTATAACACATTTTTTGCTAACAATTGAATTCCTAACAAGAAAAGGTCGCCTGACATGTTCTGTCGATACCATTGATTCCCGAGGTGATCCCATGTTTAACGAAAACGTAAACTAACTAAAGTTTCAAAATTTTTGGCTGAAGTTTTGAGTGTAGGCTTGGGGAGTTTCATCAAGTGAGAATTCATCTCGAACTGCCATACATTAAGGATAAATAAACTGCCATAAATTAAGGATAGAATAACACAACGGGGGACCATATCGAAACCTCACTAACAGACAAGCGTAAGTTCTGAGTTCGGTATGGGGATAAGCTTGTCTGTTATGAGGGTGTCGATATAATGTTTTGAAAATGAAAATGAAGAAATCGAATTTATTAAACTTCATATACTCATAGATGTTTTATAAATTATTATATTGCTATAATTATAAATTATGGGGTTCGGTGAAAGATAGAAGGGTTTTGTAACGTAAAACACTCGGAATTAGCGTATATATCGAATTGAATTTATTCACAGCGAAAGTAACTTTGGTTTACCCCATGACAGCTGGAACGAGAGTGAGCTCCGGCGACAACGGTATTAGATCATCCGATCGAGGATGTCCGAATTATTACGAATCGTCGCGAGGATGTCTTGCGACAAGGACAGCGATATATCGGCGACACGTGTCACGGTACAAAATTCGATTGCTAAGCCGAGCTCGAAAACAATACATTGAAATGGTGTGAAATAAATATAAAAGTAGCTTCGCTACATAAATATTGCTAATGGCTTAAAGAGAATTAAGAGAATGCAAAGTGAAACAGCAATGAATAATTTTCAATCTTCGATTAATTCTTTTTTTTTTAATAATCTGATTAAAATCTGTAATTGTTGAAAAATGAGGGGCGGGTTATGAATTAATTTCCTAGAAAACAGAAAAAATTTCTTGAATTCTTCGGAAAATTTCACAGTTTTCCAGATAACCGGAGAGCATCAAAGATTTTTCTCGAATAAATATGAAAAACTGCGACAAACTGGAAATCAAGATGAGATAAATTGACTCGGAGTCATCACGAGAGGAGTCGATACCGCGTATTTCGAGACTGAGACGAGACCAAAAATTTCTGCATTCATTGAGACCGAGATAATCCCTCCAAAGTATTGTCTCGTGATGTCTCGTAAAGTCTCTCGTGGCATCACTACTTCCGTTCCTAAAAAGGCCCCATCTTGCAGGAATGATCCTCCTCTTGAGTCAAATTTTTCATTGTTGTTGAAAGCAGACCGATTATTTATGTTTGAAACTTTCAAATTCTAACCAAACAATTTTTTTATTTTGTAATTTTCAACTAAATTTTTTGTTGGCCCAAACAAGACTTGCTTGAGAAATTGTTTATCTCTCAGCACTGAGTCAGAAATTTCAGGGCAAATAGTTTTTTTTCCACATAAGTTGCAGTATAAATAATTCATGATGTTACATTTTGGGATTATAAATGACTATTAGAACAATTTTTCAACAGATGGACATTTGCATTCTCACCCACAAATATTACCATTATTATTACAATAGTTGGAGCACTTTGAATGTTTCCGTTCGCTCCTTCATCATCGAGTATTCATGTTTATTCAACGGCTCTCACCGTCTCGAGGATGACAGCTAGTTTTATCGGATAATACCGCGTTTTATGAATTTATTAGACTACCCCAGCTAACTAGGAATCCACGAGAAAATGTGAATGCAGTTGCTGAACCTATCAGAAATATTTTAGAAGTATTTTTGAATTCTCGGTGAAGGAGAATAGGTTGGGGTTTCAAATATTATTTCGCAAGTATCGCTCGAACAACTGCAAATGGTTTCATCCGGTATTATACTATCCCACCGAATTCTCTGATATCCGAAAATACCACGTTGAGTAAATGTTAGACTTGCTCTTGGGCGCTTATCTTGCTATGTGCTAAAAGTTATGGTAGTCACCAAGGTGGAAACGATTCGCCCAGACTAGAGAGAGGGGTTTATATATTGTACTACATCCACTCAAATCCTTTCTTGGATTTCTGGATAAGTCGAGTTTATGGTTACTCATAAAAAGAAATATAAGGCACAAATTTCCCAAAAACTTTTCATTTTATTCTGGGTAAAAAGTTTTCAAATCTTATATTATTCCAGTTGGTAGGAGTTTTGATTAAAATGGAAATTAGGAGTTCGAGGAATACAGAGAAATACGATACGGCGGGACATATATTTCAGTGTCTCATGAATTGAAAAACACCTAACGGTGAATGTCTTATTTTCAGAGTCCTTTAAATTCCATGTGTCTTTTTTTTATTTGCACAGTAGATCTTTCCAAAAATACGGTCGGTAAATGAGATAGTCTACCAGTACCAGTAAGAGGTAATAGTTTTATCTATGTTTACCAACAGGAGGAGAATTCCAATAACTAAGGTATGATTTCACCATATCTTACCAATGACAGCCAGTTGCTGCAATGTGGCGGTATTTTGCCAAGGAGTTGTACCTAATTAGCAGTAGACGGTTACACTAAAACAGATTTCAAAATTTTAATTCCGGAAAAAGATGGAGTCAGCAGTCTCTACTCCACGGACGAAAAAATTTAATAGAAAAACCTATCGAATTCATTAGAAAATTCTATTGAATTCCTATTCAACTGTTCTATTAGTTTTTGGCCGATTCGATTGAAACGTTCAATAGAAAATATTCAGTAGAAAAAGTCAATAGAATTTAATTTTTCTACATAACTTATTCTATTGAAATATTTTCTATAGAATTTCTTCGGCTCAAATTTTCTAAATTTTTTCGTTTGATTTTCTTGATAATAAGAAAATAGAAATAGAATGAAAAAACTTGTCGAGCAAATTTTATAGAAAATATATGAAAAGAATAAG